CTATGTGTCCATCCCTCCTGCTCTAAATCCTGTTGTTTATGGAGTGAAGACAAAGCAGATCCGGGACAAATTTATTCTCCTCTTTTCTTTGTAGAAGTCATAATGAGTAGACACTGAAGGACATATTTAGGTAAAATTGACCCATAACATAAGAAATTACACAAGCATAGAAAAATATGAAAATAAAGCTGCAACTACTATTAATTTTAGCATTCTAACCAGGTGGAAAGTATTGGCAGGAGAGAGAGGGTATTGATAGAATTTTTTTATCTTGCTGTCAAAGATTTGAAGAATGCACTCATAGACTACAAATTAATAATAGTGAAAGTTGTGCTGGAACTTTAAGCAGTGGGTTCGTAGGTGGTCAAAGAGTTGAAAGACATGGGCAATGCCTGTGGCTCAAAGGAGGAGGGTGCTGGTCCCATATGCCGGAGGTGACGTTTTCAAAAAATGTCTGTACAACCAAGAACACAACAACCAAAGCAAATACCCACCCAATGGGAAATAATGTTTGCATATGCACAAAAGCTTAATAACTAGGATCTATAGAGAACTCAAATTAATCCACATGAAAAAATCCAACAATCTCATACATCAATGGGGAAGAGAGATGAACAGAACCTTCTCTAAAGAAGACAGATGAATGGCTGGCAAACATATGAGAAAATGCTCATCATCCCTAATTATTAGAGAAATGCAAACTAAAACCACTTTGAGATATCATCTAACCCCAGGATGAATGGCCCATATCACAAAATCTCAAAACTGCAGATGTTGTGTGGATGTGGAGAGAAGGGAACACTTGTACACTGCTGGTAGGACTGCAAACTAATACAAACTTTTTAGAAGGAAGTATGGAGAAACCTCAAAGAACTCAACCTAGACCTCCTGTTTGATCCTGCAATCCCATACTGGGCATATCCGGGGTGGGGGGGGACTTTTATTATAAAGACACTTGTACTCGACTGTTTATTGCAGCTCAATTTACAATCACTAAAATGTGGAAACAGCCTAAATGCCCCTCAACCCAGGAATGGATTGGCAAGATGTGGTATATGTCTACCATGGAATACTATTCAGGCATTAAACAATTTGGAGATTTGGCAGCATTTGTATTAACCTGGATGGAGGTGGAACACATTCTTCATAGTGAAGGATCGAAGGAATGGAGAAACAGGAATTCTATGTATTTAACTTTGGTATGAGGACAATTAATGGCAATTAATTGTATGGTGGGGGTTGGGGAGGGGAGAGCAGACAGAGAGAGAAGGGAGGGATGAGGGAAAGGAAAAAAAAGAAAAGAAAATAGTGACTAATTCTCACATAAATTGGATTTAATTTTAACCAAAGTACATTATTTGAATAATTGTTTTAAATTCGACTTGTTAATATGTTGTTTAGGATATTGCATCCTCATTTATAAGTGAAATATGTTTGTAATTTTCCTTTATAATAATATATTTTTTCCAATTGTAGTATCAGGTATATCCAGATAAAGCAGAATGATGTTGAAGTATTTCTTCTTTTTCTATTGTCTATAAGATTTGGGATGATCTGTTTTTTGAAATTATCTTTTATTTTTATTTATAAAAATAAATATTCTCTATTTTTTGAGACTTTAGAGGAAAAAAAAGTTAACTGATGCCTCCATACTAAACCCCCGAGTCAAAGCATTCTATGATAGATACACTTTATCTGACAATGTGAATGTTACTTTTCTTGCATTATTATTATTATTGCTCAATATTTCATTGCAGTAATCATCTGATTTCTTTTCTGATTGTATTCATCTTCTTTCATTCTTTGCAAGGTTTTTGTTTCTAGACTTATGTTAAACATCATTATTGTTATTAAATGTTAAGACTCTTTAATATGGTGAAGGCAAATAGTGGAAACCAAATAAACACATGTACAAGTATAGAGAAAATAAAATAAATAAATAAAATGTATTAACTTCACATAATATAATATTGTTAAATTTACATCTTAGCCTCCACATCTTCATGAGGTAGTTCCTTGAAGTTGCTCATCTGGGTGCTCATTCTTTCTCTCTCTCTCTGTCCCATTTAGATAGAAATATAGTTTCCCTGGAGAACTTCTGATCAATATAAGTTCTAGGAATGTACATGGAGAGTCTCAGTGCCTAAGCTCATTGAGGAGAAAAACAATGCCCCATTTCTCATCCCAGGAAGACATGAGTCACCTAAACTGGGAGGGTACATAGCTTTAAGGAGGCATGACAGAGAGGAGTGTGAACTGTGGGTGCTGAAATTGAACACAAACTTGCCATTGAACAATATGGAGAGAGTAAGAGTCAGAATGAACTGTCAAGAATGGTCCTTGGGAAAAATAGGTCATTGAGATACCATACTAATGGGTGCAGATGCTGTGTCTATTCTGATGAAGCTCATAGAACCCCAGATCTACAAACTTCTGATCTCTCTTTGGTAATGGCTGTAGTGGTCATGCCTACTGCTTGTCCATGGATAACCTTAGAAGCTAAAATCTGCTTATGTCCTGAGATTCTGCTGAGCCCAGTCTAACATCCCACTGTGAACACACATCTGCATAATTAATGTCTCAGAAAGTCCCAACACCCCAGAAAAGGCAGGGTTATAAGGGAAAATGTATAGGTTTGATTTCCTCCACTTCCAGATGTGAGTGCCAAGGTAGGGGTGTATATACACATACACAGATACTGCAAATATCGACATTGGAATCCCTTTCTCACCAGAGTTCATTCCAAAGATAGAGATCTTGAAATTTCTGGGGCCAACCAAGGTTAAGTACAGGACCTCATTGAAACATTTTCTAACTCAGAACCTAACTGGGGAGAGATGTATATAAAAATGCCAAAAGCATGCGAATCCCACCAAATTCAGTGTAAACATCCACTGCCAACAATAATTCCTCTCACTGAACAAAGATAACAATGCTGTTATCTTCATTCCTAACAGCTATCATACTAACTGAGATAAACAAAATACTGACCTATATATACCACTGTTGAGAAATATCACAATTGTACTTCTGACTCTACTTGTATCACTGGGTATAATATTAAATAGATTTGTAAAGGTAGGAAAACAGGTAAATTTTACCAGTGAAATTTAATTACCCTGAAATATTAAAAAAATGATTAAGATTAGGCAGTCATGAAGTCAATAGTACAAATATTTTTTTCATTCATAAACATTTTAAAATTTTCTAAAATGAAAAAAATCTGTAATTCTTTTATTAGGTTATTCTATTTGTTAAATCAAAGTAGGATAATAATTTTGAAAATAAACTGTAACACACTCTCAAAAATTATTTATTTCAGTCACAGTGAGAGGAAATCAAGAATTAAAAGACACCACCCTGGATTACAGCTCATGTGCTAAAAATGATAGAAGTTCTTAAAAAATATTGTTTATTCTGTTGTTTATTTTGTATACTACTACATCACATAAATTTCTTTTTTTTTAATGATATTTACAAGTGAACTGAATCCCATAGAATTTAGTTTACGTGATAGGGGCTAATATATAGCAATACCAGAATTAAAATTAAAACCTAAATTGTGTGTGTGTTTATACCAAATGTAAAACTGGAATAGTCTTGATAGTGGTGTCTCACATCTAAAAAATGAGAATTTAGCAAATCTACCCTAGTTCCCCTGAAGGACAACTTGTTTCATGAGTCACTAACATAGCTTATTGTGTTTAGTAATAAGTAGAACAAATATATATTAAGTTGAGACACATAGAGGCTTTTTACTTTATTAATTTATTTTTGCATAGTGATCCAAAGTAGAATGTAAGTATTGCTTTTAATTTTGTTTTTAATCGACATATGATAATTCTACATATTTATGGGGTACAGTGTGATGTTTCCATACAAGTATACATTGTGTAATTATCAAATCATGGTAATGAGCACATCCATCACTTTAAACACTTGTCATTTCTTACTGAATAGCACATTCCAAATCCTCTCTTCTAACTATTTTTTTTTTTTTTTTTTTGAGACAGAGCCTCAAGCTGTCCCCCTGGGTAGAGGGCCGTGGCATTACAGCTCACAGCAACCTCCAACTCCTGGGCTTAAGCGAGTCTCCTGCCTCCGCCTCCCAAGTAGCTGGGACCACAGGTGCCCGCCACAATGCTCGGCCATTTTTTGGTTGCCGCCGTCATTGTTGTTTGGCAGGTCCGGGCTGGGGATTCGATCCCGCCACCTTAGGCCTATGTGGCTGGCGCCTTAGCCGGTTGAGCTATAGGCGCTGAGCCTCAGCTGACATTTTTAATGCAAAATTAATTTCAGAAGATAAACACAGCCATATGAATATATTAATCATGATTACACTGCTAGTGTATGGAGAGACAGGATTTGAACTCAAGTTACTCTAGATACAAAATATTTACTTGGAGTGTATGCTGTTTATGACAGTTTCTCCTTAACTCTGTTGAATAAGGGACATGCTAGGGAAGCTCATTCTTTAGTGAGCACAGTAATATAGAAAGGTTGTTGAAAAGTTTTCCTTTATCTTCTTAGTCAGTGTCAGAGGGAATTGGGTTATGAGGATGTGGCAGGGCTGTTGAAGATGGCAAGGAAATTATGATTAAAATAGCACAGATGAGCTCAGGTGTAGGACATGTACCCAGGGCAAGCAAGAGGTGCTGCAGGGAAGTGGCCAAGTATGCAAGAAGGTTTAGGTACTCAGTCAGCACAGAGTCATGTGGACATGACATGCCGTAGTGTTGAAATATGGATGAACAGGATATTAAAGATGTGTAGAGAACTTATAGATGAGACACCTATGATCTGTGACATTGAAAAATGAGACAGTGCCAGCACTATAGTCTAGGAAAACCCCGATACGATTAGGAGGGACAGTTAGGTAGAGGGGCAAAGGACCAATAGAGCAAGAATCCTGAAAAGAAATATATTGAGATTTATCTTTTAACCCTATAACCCAGTAGCCATTTCTAAGTTGATAACGTACATTTGCTATATTATGAACCTTCTCATTGTATGGGAAACCTTGTTTAACATATACACCCAGGATCCAAGAAAGTTTATTGGCCATATCTACTCCCAGTAACATTCCCCTGATGTGAAATCTGGAGAGCCTAGGATACCATAATTGTCCTTCATTAATTTTTCAGGGTTCCTGCATACTGGCCAGATCTCACTTCTCTCTTATCTGAAGAAATGATGACTTGAATTGCTCATTGGAGGTAATAAGAGTGGATTGAACTGCAACCTCCGGTTTATAGGCCCAGCATCCTTACCCCATTGAGCCATAGGTGCTGCAAATATTGGTTGAAACAGTGGGACTTCTCATGCAAGTCTTAGTGGGATTCTGTCAGCTCTGCACTGACACGTATGTCTCCTACAGATTGGAGAAAAAAGAGGAGACTATGGTAGAACAATGAACTTGTGAATGAAAGGATCAACTAGGTAGCTGGCCATTCCCCATTGAATATGACCAGTGCACATTAGTCCTCACTTATCTCCTCTATCCACACCTAGAAACCGTACACTCTCCCCCATTTATCCCATGCCACCCCTAGAATTCCACAGCCATACAATTGATCTAGCTCTACTTACGTTTAAGCACTTGCAGCAATCGTTTCAGTTTAGGCACTTGAAATACTTTCCTTTGTTCCTTGGGAAAAGTTTTTGGCTTCTTCAAGGTCAAGCTTTCACACCTAGATATGAAAAAAAAATGACCTCCATAGCTCTAATTTTGTGTTCCTTGAACATCACTAGCTTTAAATCATTTCAACCCACTAATGCAGTTGAACTTTCTACCCTAGAGAACCTGAGAAGGGAGAGTACTAACTCTTAACCCTGGAGCCAGATGAAACGTCCTCATGTCCACCTTTTCACATATTCTCTGGGTGATCATGGAAATGTCTTAACCTCCTCAGAGGCACAGTTTCTTCCTTCTAAAATGAAATAATTAACCTTTCCATCCCTATCTCCTTGAAATCATAGAAAATCATGAAATGGATTTTAAAACAAAACATTTTAGTGGCTTAAAAAAATTGAAATGTAAAAACATTGTTGCTATGGATGTGAGGTTGCAGAACCTGGTACCTGAGTTTTTGAGACATATTAAGTGTGGAAATCCTATCTGGATAGACCCAGGATCTTTAATGCCTACTCCCAGTAGGAAATTCCATAGACAACATTTGAGGTTTCAGGTTCTCTGGGAAAAATTACAAATACTCATCAAAAAAGATATTGTGAGCACCAAATTTAAACAAATCTGAATTTCATGTGTTTAAAAAAGCTTGATACTACCAAGTGAGTGGGTAATTTTAGACATAAGGATGCCGCTTTCCATACTTTTCTGAAGTGGATGGATCCATTGGATCTTTGGATCTGAACAAGATGGATCCATTGTTTACACCAAAACCAAAATACAGTTTTTAGGAATTTATGTCATTTTTTGAAATCTAAATAGAGAGACAAAGAAGGACCAGGTCTCTTTTATTCCTAGAAGAAAACTATAAATATATAGGAATTATCCCAATATGCAAATCTGGGTACATGGTAGACAGAAAAGATACATCTCTTCCACAGTAGGTCAAGCACCTATTAAATAGAGTACTAGAGTAAGATATAAAATATAAAAGGTGATATACTACCTTATCCCTAATACCACTACTGATGCAAACTCTGTGTCTTTCACCAGCTAAATTTCCTAACACAGAATCTGGTCTATTCTCAATAGTTACAAAACACTCAAACCCAGATTTGTGGACAGACATTTAAGATAACACTATAGCGAAAATTTCTTCCCTGGGAGATCTTTTATTCTATTGAACAGACAATTCAAAAGATTACAAACTTATTCTCACAGCACAAAAGGACCATCCCGGGTCTCCCACACATACCTTTCTATCATGCCATTCACATCCTAGAAAGAAGAGAGAAAATATAAATTGAGAAATAATAGAATCTCCTCACTTAAAAAGCTATATCACATTTCCATCAGTACCTGGTATGCTAAGAATGAAGAAGGTTATAGATGTAAAAGTAAAAACAGAACTCAGGCCAATCATCCAGAAGACTCATGTGAGGCGGTCAAGTTCCTTAAAAAGTAGAGTAAACTTTCAACCATCAGGGAGAGGTTTCTAACATGTGAAGATGGGTCAAGTTTATAAGATAAAGAATATGGTAACAATTTTTATTTTTGTCCAAATGTACATGACTCCCCTTGAGATGATTTAAAAAATTCATGTTTTTTTGATTTATTCAACAGATGTGTAAACTGATTCACTATTATTTGCCAGTCATTGTGCTTGGTTTTGGAGACTCAAAGATGAATTAATAGTACTTGTCAGGAGGAAGCTTACATTGTTTTTGCAAAGAGTTATATAAAAGCAAATAAGTATTCTAAAAATGTATAAATTTTCTCTAGCCACTTTTTAAAATTCTATACATTAACTATTATTGACCTCATCCAGTCCCTCAAATTCAATACTCACATATGTGCAGTTGATTTCTAACTTTATTTTTACTCAAATTTGTCACTTAAATTAAGTTTAATATATTTAATAATGAAGGAGCTACTAGGACAACTCAGGATGCCTAATCTGTAGCACCAGCCACACTGTTTTGTCTTGTACATATTCATAATTTTACATCTACTCAATTAACGTCCTAAGACCTTCAATGTTTACCCTGAACTCCGTCTCTACCTGCCCAGTTTAATCTACATTTTAAGGACTTCATGTTATCTACTCTTCTCTGTTATCACAGATATAGATTTATTTGGTAGCAATGTACAGATTTTTGATCTTTGTATTATAATTTTATGTTGTATATGACATAACCAAATAAACCTGGATTGAGTAGTAAAAATTATTTTATAAACAGCAATTATAACTTCAGTAATAGCTAAATTTGAAGTTTAAACCTTATCATCAAGATCTGGTATATATTTTTCTCCAAATGCTACTCGTTACTCTATATTGATTTTATTTTCCATACATGAAGGAAATGTGAATCTCCCAGAAGAAGGGAGAACTTATAAGTTTTTACAAAAAAAGCTTTGAATTGCAAATTCACATTTGTCTGAATGGGATCAGATGCCCTTCTTGAAATCATCACTGCATTCTTGTTTGAAACACAGGAATATCAGATATTAAATTGTTTGCATTTAACCACAAACATTTATAGATCATGGTAGGTGCTAAAAATGAAATAGTGAGCAAAACAGGAATGGTATGTTCCTGCCCTCAGAGAGGTTGTACTCTAATGGTGTGATGTAAGATACAGTCAGTTACACTTAGAAGTGATATGAAGAAAAAGTCCTCTTAGAGAGCATAAACAGAGACTGTAATAATAAGGTCTGCAGGCCACACACTAGAGTCTCTCCTCCTGTCAAGGAGAGAAGCTTGGGAGTAGGAAGGTGTGTCCCTCACGGCAGGTAGGAGGGGAGAAGCTTGGGGGCACAAAGGTGTGTTCACTCCCAGGCCAGAGGGGCAAGGTGGACAACTGGAGTCAGCCTCCAGAAGCTCTCATCTAGAGGGAAGGATAATGTCCTGAAAGTACCAAATTAAGCTGAAGACTGGGAGCTCAGCCAAGAGAAAATAGCAGTAATTGTAGGTCACCTCTCCTGAAGCAAGCTGTGACTGCAAGAAAGCAAACTTTAGCTAAGACTTTACCAGAATCACTGATACACTAGGATTGGACAAGAACCAGCTGAATACAAGGCAGAGCCACCTAACCCCACCACACCAAACAGGTTTCTTCAGCCTCAGACTGTAAAACTGTACGGGTCCTTTGCAAAGCGATAGGGGAAAAAACTGCAGTCATCAGTCCCAGATCCTTGACAAAGGGCTGGTTAACCACAACTCCAGGAACTCACAATCAATTTCACCTTACCTGCCCATCTAGGCAATGGTGAAAAATAATCATGAGGTGGAATCAGCCAAAAAGCTCTGGCAACATGAATAATCAGAGTAGATCAACTCCCCCAAGTAACGATATGGCAGACACAGCACAAGATTCCATACATAAACAAATGGCTGAGATGTCAGAAATCGAGTTCAGAATCTGGATAGCAAATAAGAGCAACAGAATGGAGGTAAAGATGGGATTAGAATTTCGAAGAGTAATTCAAAAGATTTCTTATGAATTCACCTAATTCACCAAGGTTTTTGACACACTGAGGCAAGAACTTGCAGCCCTCAAAGATCCAAAAAATATAGTAGAATCCCTCAGTAACAGAATGGAGCAGGCAGAAGAAAGGATTTCTGACATTGAAGGCAAAGCTTCTGAATGCTCCCAAACACTTAAAGAGGAAAAAAGGGGAGAACAAAAATGGATCATTCTCTCAGAGAGCTCTGGGATAATTTGAAGAGATCTAATATTTCCCTTATAGGAATACCTGAAGGTGATGAGGTTGCTGCAAAGCATACAGATGCTTTACTTCATGAAATAAGCAAAAAGAATCTTTCTAGACATGCCAAAAGATTCTGAAATTCAGACAGCAGACAGTTTCAGAACACCAGAACAACTCAACCTAAATAAAAATTCTCATAGACACATCACAATTAGCTTTGCCAAAGTTAATATGAAGAAGAAAATTTTGCAACCTGCAAGATGTACAAAAACCATAACCGACAAGGGGAAGAACATAAGAATGACAGATCACTCTGATGAAACCTTTCAAGCTACATGAGGGTGGTCATCGACCTTTAATCTCCTTAAACAATATAACTTTTTACCTTGCTGGAGAGAGCCGCTAAACTCCACATCTCTTTCTCCAGGGAGGTCCCACTTATGAACCTAGACACTACCTTCCAGGCATAAAATCGAACACATATTTTTCCCCACAAGTCCAAACTCTCAGTTCACCCTTTCCCCCTTGCATGGTGGTCTGAAGCTCTGGCCCCTGCAGAGCATAGAGTGTTTGGTTTTGTCCTGAGAGACCTGGGCATAGTGTGGACTACCAACCATCAGGATGAAATCTGTGAGTAATGGGGAAGGAAGAGAGTGTGGGAAAAAAGGAACATTTGGTGGGAGGAGGAGCAGTCCTCTGGTTATGACTATGCCCCACCAGTGGTAGTGTTGACCCTTGGTTTGGGCTGTGTCTGATGGGATGGGATGCAGAACCCCTGGCCTGACAGCACCCACAGCAGGAGAGTGATTGCCCCGTGTGGACTAACCTTCACAGATAGTGCTGGTCTTTGCTGGGCCTGCGAGTAGAGGCTTAATAGCCATGGACTGTGACCTGAGAGCAAGGGCATGGTCTCCTGATTCCAACAGAACCCTAGAGTAATGGCTTACTGGGTGTGAACCAAGCCCTGAGGGTGAAGTTGTACTACACTGCCTCCAGTGGGGCTGGTGAGCAGAGGCTTACCAGGTGAGGACTGAGACCTGTGGGTGAAGTGTTGTGCTCTGACTCTAACAGAGTCTGTAAACAGAGGCTTGCCATGCAGTGGACTGAGAATGGCAGGTGGGGTGTGGTCCCCTGACTCCAACTGGTCTGGCAAGCAGAGGCTACCTGTGTGTGGACTGAGACCAGAGGGCAGGCCTGGTGCCCTGACTTCAACAGAGCCTGCAAACAGAGGCTTGCCATACAGTGGACTGAGACTGCCAAGAGGGGGCATGGTCTCCTGACTCCAACTGCTTTGGCAGGCACTACTCTAGACTCTACTCCAGAGGCTAGCTGTGTGTGAACTGAGACTGGTGGGCAGGGGTGTTACCCCTGGCTCCAGCTGGGCCTGTGAGCAGAGAAGCAGATAATAGGGTGGACTGAGTCTGGCAGGTGGGAGTGTGGATCCCTGGCTCTAATTGTGCTTTGAATCTTTTTGCTTTGAATTGTCCTTGAATCCCTCTCTGTTGGGCTGGGTTTGCACTGCCAGAGACAATTTGGTTGGAGCCCATGTCTGGGGCTGCCCACTCTGGAACACTCTGAGGTTGACCTTTGAAGTTCTGTAGTGCAAAATAACTGAAGAGTGGGGGCTGGGCACTGCAGCTGTTTGTATCTCTTCACAGTTGAGATTTAAATCTAATAGGGTGGTTTCTTAGGATAGGGTAGATGTTGGCTGATATCAAAACAGAGCTAGCCTCCACTATCTCACCAAGTAAGTCTTCTGAGTCTCCAGCCAAAACTCTGAAAGGGACCTTTGTAAGGTTGTAGGAGATAAGTCACAATTACAAAGCCTAGAGCTTTGGTAAGGGGCTATCGCTACAGCCTGGGCACCCCAATTCAATCACCCTACCAGTTCTAATAACCAAACACTAGAAAATAAACATGGTGTGGACTCAACAGAAGAACTCTGGCAACATGAGTAACCAGACTAGGTCAACCCCCCCATGAAATGACAAAGGAGATACAACTGAAGATGCCATGCATAGACAAATGACAGCAATGTCTGAAACTGAATTTAGAATATGGATTGCAGATAAGATAAACAGAATGGAAGAAAAAATGAAAATTGAATTCCAAAAAGTAGTTCTAAAGTTGTCTCAAGAAATTAATGAATTCAAAGCCCAAGTCACCAAAGATATGGACATAATGAGAAAAGAGATAGCAGAGCTCAAGGAAATGAAAAAGTTAATTGAGGAGTTCCAAAATACAGTAGAATCCCTCACTAATAGAGTTGACCAGGCAGAAGAAAGAATCTCTGAAACTGAGGACAAAGCTTTTCAACGTTCCCAAACACTCAACGAGGTAGACAAATGGAAGGCAAAAACTGATCATTCCTTGAGAGAGTTGTGGGATCACTCCAAAAGATCAAACATTCATCTTATAGGAATTCCTAAAGGAGAAGAGGATGGTCCTAAAGGTACAGATGCTCTACTCCAAGAGATTTTGGAGGAGAATTTCCCAAACATTGCAAGAGATTCAGGACTTCAGATAGCAGACAGTTTCAGAACTCCAGCAAGACTTATTCCAAATAA